AAAAATTTAAAATATATATTATATATGAAAGATGATTAATTTTATATGTGGTATATATGAAATATTGTTAATAAGTGTAGAAGTTAATAAATTTAATATATTTCTAATTTATATTAGCCAAGTGTTTTATAATTTCAAATGCTAATAGATATGGATAATCAGAAAATGGCTTATAGGATTACAATTCCCTAGAAGTTGACACTGGGGGTGTATTCATTTGGGATTCCTAAAGACTGGAGAAATATATTGAATTTAGACTTTTTAAGACTCTTTAAAGTCTCGGTGTATTCATTTGAGATTTTGAAAAGCCTTACAAAATTCGAAGGTATTTAACTTATTTGAGACTAAGATTTTTTAACTTTTTAAGATTTATTGTGATTTTGAAATAAAAAACCTTATACGAAATCCACTCCAAATCTCAACCCCAGACTTGAGATTTCTATCTGAAAATCTTAAAAAGCCTCAAATCTTAAAAAGTCTCAAAATGTCACTCGAAATCCGAAACGAAAAGTATGTATTTATATATATAGGGAGGGAATATTGTTTCTATTGTTGTTGTTGTTATTATTATTATTTCAATCAGTATGTTGGATCATAAGATATCGACACATTTCAAGTTAGACATTTTAATATGCCAACATGGATACAATAGTGTTTTTGTTATGAATAATAATATTATTATTATCATCAAATGTGCAAAATATATCAACTAAGTCCCATTGATTCCAGGTTCTAGTTACCATGACAACATGAATTCTGGATATCCCGCTCAGACCCACCTCATAAACCCCAGTTCACGCACGCAGTTCGAACTCGACTCTTTAACCCACCCCCACCCGACATATGACAAACTAGGAGTGTTTGACGATTGGGGTGGCAGCCGCAACAAGGGGATCAGCAACGACGAGTTTTTATCCGAGGAAGAGATCCGCATGAGGAGCCATGAGATGCTGGAGAATGATGACATGCAGCATTTGCTTCGGCTTTTCAGCATGGGTGGGGCACACACCTCCATCAACGGACCCGAAGAAGGTGGGTTTGGATTTCCTTCTTATGTGCCCTCTCCTATGCCTGGATTCAATTATGGGGAGGACCGAACGCGTTCGGGCCGGGCTGTTGCTGGTTGGCTGAAAATCAAGGCTGCCATGAGGTGGGGCATATTTATTAGGAAGAAGGCAGCTGAGAGGAGGGCCCGTATTGTGGAGCTCGAGGATGAGTAGTAAACAAATCGAGCTTCTCTAGTAATGTGTTTAGACTGCTAGAATGGGAATGTAATATTCGTAGTAGTCAGTCAACCTCTGAAAATTCTTGTCCCTTGTTGGGAAACAATGATATCGTGTACAGCCTATTCCGAATACTGAGTTTGTTGGTTTATTTCGTATTGAGTGTACGTATGTTGAAGTTGTTACTACGATTTGTGATATGATGTCAAACATGGATAAATGAGTGCCCTCGTAACTCTCGTGTTCTCAATTTGGTTACAACTTCAAGTTGTAATCCGTGTTGAAGTCGTGTTTCTACATATATCTTGCACAGCTTCTTATTTCTTTCTTTTTGGTTGGATTGTGAGAAGTTGAGAAATTTGATGTTTGCATAGCTGACTACTGTTGCCCTGTGTCCAGTTAATGTTTTTAGAAATTTCAAAGATTTCTCTTAGTCACACTGTCTGTTACCCTCTGAAATATGCATTTACCTTCTTGTTAACATATGAACAAAGATATGTCTAGCTATTTGTAGCTTCCAAGATAATGAATAATGGAGGGAGCTGAAAAGAACAAAAGACACAATGGATCCGAAGAACTGTATACCAGTCGAATATGAAAACTTATTTGCCCGCAAGCAAACTAGAAAATAAGAGCGTTACATTACGAGTCGGGTTTAATGTAAGTCAGTCTCACACTCGGGAGGGTAACCCTGTGGAGAACGCATGGGATCAGCACAGTAGTTATATATCATGTAATTCTGGCGCACCCATCTCAATCTCTCCTGGCTCACGATATCCAGTTCTTGATTCAGCCACAAGCTCGAATTAGGATAGCAAGTGGAAGACGAAGTAGAGGAAGACCAAACACAGGCATCATCTGCACTAAAGTTTGCGTAGAAAGCCGTGAATGGAGCCTGGCTCCAATCTGTCTTGACGAGCCCACCTCTGGTCGCCCAATCATCGGCATTCCACAGGCTCGAGTAGATTCGCATCGGCTGGTTTTCCGGGAACGGAATAGTGGGAGATTCCGAGTTGTTGAATTCTCTAATAGGACTTCCATCTACTGAGAAACTGGAAAAACAAGTTTAAGAAAGGAAGGATTAATCATATTCAATTCTAAGTTGTGGTCAAAAGTATATCTAATTATAGTCATGTTGGTTTGATCCAAATAATGTGACAGATCCTAAATGATAGAGAGTTATAGAAAAGGTCTTACATGATCCTCTTGGGATTCCAGACAATGGAGTAAGTGTGAAAATCTTCAGTCGGATCAAACCACAGATAGAATTGTTGTTCTCTATTACCCTTTCCCTCAGTGTAAACATTAGTGTGTACAACATAAGGCTCGCCGCTTAAATTCCCCAAGAACTCGAAATCTATCTCATCGTGCAATCTACCTTGTGAAGATAACTGCAATCAAAATTATAAAAATAAAACGAAGTGATAAAAAGCTTATATTTGATAAATGTGTTAGATAATTAAGGAGTGCTGACATAGTAGGCAGTGACAGTGCCAGCTGAATTTCCGGGGACGAGCTTGATCTGCATATCGATCTTCCCAAACAAGTACTCGTTTTTCGATTGGAAACCTGACGCCGAGTTATTGTCGAGTGAAAGAGTGAGGAGTTGTCCGGTTTCGAGGATTTTCGCATGGCCCGTTACGTCGAAATCTCGGTGGAAATTTCCAGCTCGTGCAGTCCACATGAATGCGGTTATTAGAACAAGTTTGATTATCAGGAAGGCTACTAGAGAAGAATATGGAGCCATCATGTAATTGTTTTTCGTTTTCAGTGTAAGTGTTTGGAGATCTTTGTATATGTGAATATGAGAAGTAGAGATCTTGGTTATGGTTGGTCGGTTTTTTAGGGGAAAATATTACACATTCCACCAATTTGGCCAAGTTACATATATAGTGCTTTATATTGCCTATCAATAAATGTTGGATATTACTTAAGACCTTGTTTGGATAATGGCGTTTTGGCTTGTTTTTAGCGTTTTGACTAAAGTTAGTTTGTTTGACAATTTGACTATTTAAAAACAGGTGTGTGGTAAAATAGATTATAGGTGCAACTTTTTTTATATCAAAACGCCAAACTTGGAAACGCTACTCCTTGCAACGTCTCATATTAACTTTTTTTTTTTTAAAAAAAAATATGCCATGTAATTAATTAATTCAAAATGCATGGACATTGGACACTCATAGGCTTTTTTTTTCTCTTCCTTTTGTGTGGAGCATAGAGTATTAATTAATTCCTATTGTTTAAAGAGAAATGCTATATGTACATAATATTGTACATGAAGGTGTACATACAGTCACATTAAATGGATCTTACTAAAAATAAAAAATCAAGTGAACCTCACTCATATTTATCATGTACTTGTAGCATTTTTCTTGTTTAAAATATTTAGACACTATCAAGCCTTAAATTTATTTTTTTTAATCTTTTTGTGTAGAGTATAAAGTATTCATTCTTTCCTATTTATGAATAACAATATTATAATATGAAAATATATTTCATTATTTATTTTAAATCTTTTATATATTATTTGACTCTTCATTTAAAATATTCAAGGTAGGAAAAATATATATCGCCTAATTTAAGGTGGCTATGATAATAACCTAAAAACTATATTGAAGTGTATTACAAATAGTTTTATATGTTAATATCTAACAACAAACATCTAATTTTACCAATCATATTTTTATAAACTGCTAATATAATCACCTGGTCAAAATAACTAAAACTATCAGCCAGTCAAAACAGCTAACACAATTCGCTAACCTCTAATAACTGATTGCCAAACAAAGGCTAAGGCAGACTAGTGGTGATTGGATATTTGTTAAGTCTGTTAGTCCAAAAAATTTCACCCCAAATTTCATCCAACTCAAAATCAAACACAACTCCACTATCCTCAAATATCATTAACATAATTAAATAATATCACCCAATCATTCATACACATCACATCTACTTTAATTCACTATTTATCCACTCACATAACTTTAACTAACAATCACTTCACATCTAAATCTCCTATTTTTACATCAGATCAACTTAATAATTTTATTTTAAATATCATTTTAATATAAGCTCAAAATCTCACTAACAACTAACAATACCATCTTTTTAGAAATTAACTTTGGTTAACCAAAAAAATTCACTTCGGGTGAAATATTTCTGTATCCAATAAGTGGAGGGCTTTTTAGTCTTTTGCCATGTATCGTCTTCGTTGTATAAATATCTGTGGCTTTCATCTTTTCGACTGTTGAGAATATATATAATGTAATCTCTTTTCCTTTGAAATAAGATCCGAGTTTTCATGACAACTCTTTCTTCTACCTCTCTGTTTTATCATTGAACATGGTATCAGAGCAGTCGAAGTAACCGACAATGGCGAACAACACAACATAGAGAGGTGTTGTAGAAGGCGACCGCAACTTATAGCAGCGATACCACCGGCGATAATCAAGATGCGATGATTCGACCGGACTATCCTTTGGCGTTACATAGCTCCGGTCATCCAGGAATGCCGCTAGTCACAACACTACTCACCAGTTCGAACTACCAGACGTGGAGACATGGTATCAGAGCCTATCTTTGCTTTAACTAGTATTGAAAAGGTTGATGAAAATTCTTAGATTATAGACACAAGTGCCAGTCGACATATGAGCAATGATATGAAATTATTCACCAATATAAAAACAATCCCATCCTTGCGTATCCTTTTACGTGATGGCTCTAAATTGACCGTTGACAAGTCTAGAGTTATTCACTTCAGAAATAAACTTACCTTGCATAATGTTCTCTATATCCCAACTTTTAAATACAACCTGATTTCAGTTGCACAATTGTCTCAAGTATATATTGTTGTCTGGTTATTCTATCGTACACATTTCTTGCTTCAGGACCTGGAGACTAGAGACATAGTTGCATATGGGAAGACAGTGAGAGGTCTCTACACTTTGAATCCTACACATTTTGTTTATTGTACTTCTGTCACTATGAATAATAACGATAATTTTACCGTGTGGCACTAGTGGTTAGGCCATGCTTCTGATTATGTACTTGAACACATGGATTTCTTGAGACCTTTTCTTGGCAATGAATCAAAACTTTTTACGTCTCAGTGTACTATATGTTATATGTCCAAACAGCCTAGAAACGCATTTCCTACTAGCGAATCACATGCCAAGCGAACAAAAATTAACTAAATTTACAGTAAAAAGCTCTCGCGACCCGAAAATCCCCAAATCTGCTCTTGAGGAAAGAATCTTAATCCGGTCATTTGGCCTTCCTTCTCGCCGGCATATGCACGGCCAGGGGTCGTCATGACCGTCCTTCTCCTCCCCATGTCGTTTTGCTCCCCCGATTCTCCGTGGAAGGCGACAATTAGGGTTCTGAATCCCCGGAGTAGATGGAGCTTTCACTGGCGGCTGAGCCACTTTCGGTCGGCGACGGGCCTGGGGCTGGTCTTGTCTCTTCCCAAGCAGTCAAAGTTCCCCTGTTTTCGCCTTTGTCTGCTCTGATTGGATTTGGCCGTTCAAGGTAGAGCTCTTCCTCTTCGGTGGGGCTCCGATCCCTGGTGGTCGGCTTGCTGTGGTGGGGTCGGTTGGGGTGCGCGTCGTTGGGTGAGGAGGGATCCCCGATGGCTGTGGCGGTTCAAGTTGCGGTGGTTGGGGTTGATGGCTCGATCTTTGCTCACCTTCCTGGTTCGGCTAGTGGTGATAGGCGGTCGGGGTTTGGTACTATCCGTCTCGTCTAGTGGTGTTAGATTAGGATGGGTGGCTCCGGTGTGGGGGTTGATTGAGGCTTTCTCGGTCATTGATGGGTCAATTCGGGGATGGGTTTAGGGTTTAGTTTAACCTACTGTATAGGCCTTCTGCAGTTTCGGTAGGGGCTTCTGGACCTCGAATCCATCTTGTGTCGATTGATTCACTCTTGGTTGGGCTATGTCGTGCGACGAGGAAGGGCTCCTTTTGTTTAGTTTTTGTTTGTTTTGTTTCGTGTAGTTGTCGTTGTTGTTGAGTTGTGTTAGTCGTGTGTGGCTGTTGTTGATGTTTTTTAGGTTTGGATCGTTGGCCCCAGTTCGTTCGAGTGTGATCTTATTATTCTGTTGGGATCCCACACTCGGGCATTACCCTGTTGGGGCCGTGTTAGTGTTGTGTTTTTTACCCTGTTGGGTCGTCTTTGTGTTGTGTTTTTTGTTAGGGTATTACCCTGTTAGGTTCGCTTCTAGGCGGTCTTACGACCTGTCCTCCCATTCTTATTCCGCTGGTGGCTGGGTGTTGTATTCAGCTGGTGGTTGTACCCTTGCATTTTTGTGCCTTTTATATATCATTTCTATCGCTCCGGCAAAAAAAA